TATTCCTCTTCTTAATAACTATGAGGCCATTTTTTGAGATGGTACAAAGAATGTCCTATCACAAAATGTTAACACTGAATATTAGTAAATTAGAAATATGACTTTAAAAATCACATTACTATGGATTTGAAGACTTAAAAATAGCATTTTACTTGTATTATGATAGCTTAAGAAGAATGCATACCAATAAATACTGTGCTGGCAAAACTTTATCTAATTGAGACATCTGAAATTGCATGCTAAATCCCCAAATTCCTCTTTACAATTATTTAATTATTTTGATTCTTATTAGAAAATTTCAAAAACTTGGTGGAATGCAAAGAAGAACATTGAATTCTACCTACTTCCCATCACTCTGCAATAGCCTTATTTGTGTAATTGAACATTTTTTTTTTTTACAAGCACAGTCTTTATAAAGGATACATTATATTTCAGCCTAACGATGTACCATAGTAAGTCTTAACCATTCTTCAATTACAATTTGATAATTCAAACTTGATTGACAAAGTGCACGAGAGAAGAGAAGGCAGAATAGGTTTAGGACTGGATGAGGCATGTCGTTTTGATTCAGAGAGCCTGTGCCACACGTCTGTTACATGTTTGGAAACACTGAGTTTGAACTGGAATTCCAGCCTCGCTGGTTTGGAGATGGCCGGTGCGGTGGTGGTTGAAGTTAGCCTTGGTGGGATTGATGAAGAGGAGCTCTGAAAGCAGAGCCCTTCCTCTTCCGGAGTGCAACATTTCTTAATGACAGAATATGTCATCTCTGCATCTCCTTAGGTTGTCCATTCAGCTTTCATTTCTTCTTCTGTTTTAAGGGAGATGAATAAGAATTTGTATATCCTAGATGTGTTCTAGTTTAAAACAGTCATCTTCTGCTCTTGGTGACTGCAATTACGAAATTAAAACTTGATACACAAGTAACTAGTGAAACAATATTACTCGGGTAATACTATGCATGGTACAATATTGTGGAAAAATTTTCTCTGATGTTATCTCCACTTTATCTCATGGTTGTTGGAGGTTAAAACTCTTTAGTGGCTCTCTGAACCTAAATACCTTTTTCTGGTGACATTGTGTCATAGGATTTGCTGCTGTTTGTGAATAAAAATGATACACCATTAGTGAACATTAAACTATTAATAACATTGGAAATTTGGAGTTAAAAAAATGAGACAAATGAATTATGTTTATTTGGACTCCTATTGTTTAGAATATATAAACAGACCAAAAAGAAGAAAACTTCCTAATCTCCAGGCATCTACGTGTCTTCAGTCTTTCCACAACATCTTTTCCCTGTATTTCTCAAATCTGGTTTAGGTTTGTTTTCATGTCGAAATAAGTGCTCCATAAAAATATTAACAGCTGGTTCCAGAAATCATCTGGTAGGGGTGCAGATGCACTGTTACGAATCTTGTCGTGGAACTTTGGTGGAAATACTGTGTTTGTTATGACTAAAGAACTGCTGTCTTTAAAAATAACTGAGAGAAACAAATCTTGGACTATAACGTCCTGTGCAATTTTGTTCCCTATTAGAAAGCAGAAGACGAGGACATTGTTCTCACACCCGACGGCACCAGGGAATTTCTGACGTTTGAAGTTCCGCTTAATGATTCTGGATCTGCCGGTCTTGGTGTCAGCGTCAAAGGTAACCGTTCCAAAGAGAACCACGCGGATCTGGGAATCTTCGTCAAGTCCATTATCAACGGAGGAGCAGCGTCTAAGGTAAGTATATGTCAATTTCAGCAAGCATACGCCCATTCACAAAAATGTGTCATTTCAACCCTATTCCTATTTTGGAAATGTGTACAGCTAACTGACATTTTCTGGTGCCTTCACAATAACCCCATTCATGATCCACTCGGAGAAATCTCAGGGATGTGTCATTTGGGGATGCAGTCCCGAACTGTAGCTCTTCCAGTTTTTATCTCACAGGGCTTACAGCCCACACTCGTGCTAGCTGCTAAATGAAGTTAATCTATGCAAAGACGCAGCGTAGGTCCTGGCACAGCACTGGCGTCTAGTAGGCGTTAATCTTTTCTCCTCCTCTCCCCTGATGTGGGTCATTTATTCTATTTTTCAGCCTAGAGAAAATTTCCTGGCTGTTTGTTCAGGGGGCACTTCTCCGCAACTGTCTAATAGCCTTGAGCTTTCGCATATCTTAGGTTGTAAAATAACCTCTATGGGTGTTTCTGGAAGCAAGAAAGTAATCACTTTGTGTCCTTTGAATTAGTATGCTATTTTGGTAAACAGATTATGGTAATGACTTGATTTACAAATGTATAAATGATTGAAATAGACACAGGCCACAATGGCTGCTTAGACGGTTATTATGCCCGCGTTCAATTGGGCGTGATCTATTAGGATTAAAGGGCCCCCCCCACTTTTTTTCTGCTTTGTTTTAATTTTGTTTTTTATTTTTTTCGACTCAAAGGGAAAGCAACTTCTTTTACAGCAGACGATTTAATAGCACTTATTTCTTTTTCACCTGTTTTCTTCCCAGGATGGAAGGCTTCGCGTGAACGATCAGCTGATAGCAGTAAATGGAGAATCCCTGTTGGGCAAGACTAACCAGGACGCCATGGAAACCCTGAGACGGTCCATGTCCACCGAGGGCAACAAACGAGGAATGATCCAGCTCATCGTTGCGAGGAGAATAAGCAAGTGCCATGAGGTAAAAAAAAAAAAATAAATAAACAAACAATGACTCGCATCTGAAATCGAAATAAGACTAAATTTCTGCCTAACATTGGACGAAGAATGGCAGATTCCAGACTTTACCTCACATAACCCTAAATTATCTTTACTTGCTGTAGTTTTCTTGTTTTGTCAGTGGATTGTGATTTTTTTTTTTTTAATTATGTGATCAGCACGTTCCTAAGTGGACGTTCATGTTTGTATGGCCAACTTGGCAAAGAACACTAGAATCTCTCTCAAAGGCCCCTTCAGCTGAGTTCTCTTCTCGAAAACAGGGCTGCGCCTTCTTTCTCAGAGCCAATGCTTTCTCTTCTAGTCAGCAGGTTGTACCTGGGAGGTGGCAGTCCCGGGAGAAACAATCGCTTATCCTTTGTTTATCTAAAATGGGGTACCTCTACAGATGCCCTAGTGGGGAACAGTCTGGCTTCCTTACATGTGGGCATTCTCTTGCGAGATTATCAGTAGTGAAAGCTTCCTTCTCTTTCCTCGGTCTCCCCTTTCTCCGTCACTGTGGGGCTGAGTCTGTATCCTTTGAATGCCTGCTTTGTCAGTGACCTGTGCTGCATAGCACCCTGCTCTTTCTAAATGTATGCTGCACTATGGGATTAGGAGAGAATAAAAAACTACAGGCATCCTCTCTTGAAGGCTGGGATAATCTGTTTTCTCAAATAAGCAAAAACATACTTTATTGTATAACGGAGTATTTTGAAAGTTAAAAATAAATTATATGGAGATTTGATAATACTGGAATCTGAATAAAGCTAAATTTCTATTAATAGATTTATTATAAATTCTATGCCTCCTATAGAAAATAGGTTAGACCTGATAATTTGCAGAAATGAGCTACTGAAAACTCAAAGTTTTTCTGTTTTCCTTTTTATTGATGCTCAGATCCCCCTATTTTAAAATTAGAAAAGATAAAAGATAAAATTACTAGGAAGTTGTACAAAACTAAAATTGTATATAAATTAAGTGTTTTTCTTATTTTAAAAACCTCTGTTCAATAAACATATGAAGTAAGCTTTTCAGGTTGTGAAGACTGCTCCTCTGAACATATAATATGATCACATTTTTTAAAGAAAATGTGGTCTTGAGCTCATTGGGTAGTCAAGATAGAGGTGACCAATTTTAAAAGGTTATTGACTATCGATTTATTATTTGCCAAATGTAGAATGAGTTGGTAATACTTAACAAATGAAGTTTCACAACAGCAAGAGAATACTGTAAGCTTAACTGAAAATCTCAGAAAAGATTAGGACATAAAAACATTTATGTAAGATAAATGTAAAAAAGCTAAGCTCCTTAGAGTGGGCTACTGGACTGATGTTCTTGAATAATAGCTTTTACTCATTGCCAAAACTTTAATTGATCTGTTAATATTAGTCCCTTGAAGGGCTACATGAAAAATTATCAACAGTAAGTTTACAAGACACATTATTCTTTATTAAGTCTTTTGCTTTTGGACAACTGGATAGTTTCACAGTCCACAGGACAGCGTTCATTCCACAGGCGTTTTATTGAGCATCTACTGTAGATCAGAACATGTGTTAGATCCTCGGGACACAGTGGTAAATAAAACAGTTGGGTTACCTTCTTTCATGGAGCTTGTATCATCTTGGCGGCTTTAAAAACACACTAAAATTTGTGTTACCTTCTTTCTCAAAGTTTTCCGACGCAGAAAACATTGAATGCTGTAGGGGAACTAAAAATGTCAGAAATGAACTGAAGATTAACATTCATTCATCTGATTCAGATTATCCCCTAGGGTTCCCCCAACCGTAATAAAACAAACCTGCACCAGCCTGAAAATGTTTTGATAAAAGGACTGATTTTATTCCCTGTTGCCCTGTAAAAGTACATGAAATTGGAATCCCCCAGAAATATCTCCCTGTGTCTCATTCACTTCTGCATATGAATTTGTGTGAATGAAAATGATTTAAGCAAGGAAATAGCTGTAATAGACAGTAATAGATTTTAATATTCGATATTCCTTATGGTGTCATTTTTATACATTGCTGGTTATTACTATTTCTTAGGACAGAATAAGCTTATAAACCAATTATATCCAAAAAAAATCGTATCATGAGTGCTGTGCTATCTTCGTAATACTAGCAAGAGGCCTTTTGTACTGACAGGGTTTAACTAGAGTTACGTGACGACGGAAGGTCTCAATTCAGCTTTCCACTAGGCATAATGTATGATTTTGCTGCTTTTGTACTTATCTGTTATTATTTTTGGAAAACCCTCTCCCTGAGTCTCTGGGAGGGTGTGTGTAAATTATATCACAGTAAATATTGATATAAACACAGGGCTCTTGCTGTCCTGAATGAACCTCAAGCCAAAACATGGTAAGTTCTCTTCTTCTGGGTCTATTAGCCATGCAGTCCGGTCTTGGACATTTGCACAAAGCTCCATTTTACTGTCTCATCTTTACACCAAGGGTTCGCATACTTGATTTCAAGCTAGACAAGATGAGTGTATATATATATAAAAGAAAATCTTTTGTGCTTTTTGACATTTTTCCTTCCCTTATACGTGGAAGCGTTGTGTTATTATCCTTCTGTGTTTTCTTTAAAATGTTATTTGTTGACTCCCCTTACTCTAGGTACTGTCTTAAAACCCTGTGTTTTGCTAATATTTGTCCCTACACAGTACATTGGAGACATTTTCTGCACGCTGTTTCTAAGTCTGTTTTGCTTGATATTTAAGGAATCTTTGGGCACCACTTTATTCTCAGAATGTTTCTTTCTTTCCTCTGTTTTTCTGCTGCAAGATTCTGGCTCCTCTCTCTCCTCTAAGGGTTCATCTTTAGTTACTATTTTTTGAGGCTCTTTCTGATCTCTTCCTCTGTGCATGTTCTCTAGCCGGTCTCCACTCCCTGGTCGTCTGTAACCTCCTGTGTTAGGCTGGGGCCCATCATCCTGTTTCCAGCCCAGAACTCCGTTTTAGCACCAGAGTCCTCTGTCCACCTGCCCAGTGTTATAGTTGCTGGTATGTCTCCCGGGCCCCTAATTCACAAGGCACCACACTCCTTCAGATGTAGAAGCTAGAGATCTGGAGTCACCCTGGACTTCTCAGATGCCTTCACTATGCCCATAGCTTCTGCCTCTAGCATCTCTCTGCACTCAGCCCACCCTTTTCCCTCCCCACGGCCACGGCCCACATTCAGACCCATCCTCTCACCAGTCCTCTGCTGCCACTCCCCAAGGGATTTCTCTGTGATCCGGCTTTCTCCCTCAATTTGTTCTCTCCTCTGCAGTCAGGCAGATTTTTCTACAAAATAAATTGATCATGTCACTCCCTGCTGAAATCCCTTCAGGAGCTTTCCACGTCTCCAGGATAGATGCCGGTTCCATCATGTGGTCCACTAGGACCTGCCTGATTAGTGTCTGTGCTCTCCAGCCCCTCCCTGTGGAGTCTCCATTCCAGCTATTCAACACTCCTTGTAATTTCTCGGATACGTGAAGCCGTCTTTCACCTCTAGGTCTTCCGCTTGAGTTCATTCTGTCTCTTGTCCTAGCAATGACTTACACAGTCTTTAGATTTCTGTTTTCTCTCCCTAAAATATTTTCATAACCCTGTGCACTTGCCTTCATCCAGCAGCTATCACACTAGCATGGTTTCCTTTTTGATTTTCTTTCACTGAAATTGTAAATTCTGAGACCACCAGGACGCCATCCATCTACCATGTTCCTATCGGCTTTTTGCTGGTGTCCAGCCCAGGGCCTGACACACCAGCATAGACTGAATGACGAGGCAGCCACCTTGGAGAGCCTGGCGTTTTTCAAAGAAAAAGAGAACTTATTTATTTAATAGCATTAAAAACTGAAGTTCTGAAACAGCCATCAGAACAGAAGTAACAAAATGAATTTGGGGGCAGTGATTCCCAATTCCCTTTGCTTTCCTTCTGTCCTTAGATCTAATGCTCTTAATTACATTTTAAAACATTTCATAAGCAATCATTGTTTTTTGTTTTAAAAGAAATAAAAATGTCTTCCCCTTGTTTTATGCTCCTAAAGGATGGTTAACTTCTTTAGAGAAACATTTTTTTAAGCCCTGGTGTTCTTTTTCATTGTTTCAGTGTTGGAATACGCAGAGCAAGGAGGGAAAAATTGGCATCACTCACCCCAAAGGACACCTTTGTGGGGACTTTGAAGGAGGGTGGAGGGGAGTGAGCGTCAACTCCTGGCATTGTTCCTTGGGTTTTGAAAATCACCTGTATGAGAGAATTATGCTGATTTTACTTATTTGAAGGAAATTAATATTTGTAGAAATGACTGTAATTTAACATGGCATCCAGGCATTTCACTCTGTCCTTGTTAGAAGTGATTTTCTATAAAGCCTTTTCTTGGTACCAGGTGAGCTTTTGTCTTAGACCCCATATGGAGGGATTTAGTCATCAAGCACTACTTTAAAATGAATTCTTTCTCTCGGTTTAATCCGCTTAGAATCAGAAAGCTATGTTAGAATAGGAAGGGGGTACTAAGGTATCATTTATGGTTCTCTTCGTTTTCTGTATTAAGAAATAAATGCCGAGAGGTCAAATGATTTGCTTAATGGCTGCAAGGCCAAGATAGCAAGGTCATTTAGAAGCAAGGTGTCCGTCCCTCTTGCGTAAGTGTGGCGATCTAAATTGACTGTGATTGTGTTGTTCAGGCACTTTCTATCCCAGTTGTGTTGGGAAAGTAAGTAGCTTGCAATAAATGCGCGGGCTTTAGAATCAGAGGTAATCAGTTAAATTCTGGTTCTGCCACGGACTAACGTGGCCAGGTCGCCTCACCTCCCTGCTGTTACCGTCATGGGGATGTGAAGGGAAACAAATGAGGTCTTGCATGAAAAGAGAACGTGAACCTGTACCTAAATCTTCCTCCACTCCCCTCTTTTTTCATTTATGGCTTCATGCTTACCTGTGGATGCTGGTATTTTCTGCAATGCATAATTGCAATCTGAGTGAAATGCCTTTTAATTTCTACAGCATCTTGTGCCCTCATTTTTAAAGGCCTACTTCCATGTGACCTAGTATATCATTTTAAGGAAAATGTGAGTCATTCACTTTTCTTAGGAGTGAATTTATTAATCTAATTATTCCACCAGTGCCTGCTCTATGCCAGGCATGGGGATAAAATAGAGTATGCTCATAAAGACTGAAATATTGGATAATAAGGTCTAGCCAGTTACTAACTAGGATCCAGGCTGAAGTTTCCTGAAGGGGGTTTAAAGCCATACCTATGCCAACTTTTCAAGTTATAGTGGAGATGGTGGGATATATTTTCTTTAGGTGAAAAGACATCATTCAACTCACTAATTGCGCACTTACCAACAAAACGAGACTTTACTAAAACCCACAGAAATTGTATTCGTCTTTTAAAAGAGACCAAGATTTTAACTTTTCCTAAGAAAGGAAGAATATGCCAAGTATATAATGAAAAGCATATTCTTTGGACGATATCCAGCTTTTTGTTATTAAAGAGCATTTGTTATTTTATAATTATGAAAGCAGTATATGATCATTTGAACATATTTTTAAAAGCATACTATGTTTACATTCTTTTTAGATGTAAATACATTTTATGCCTTTGTAAATAAAGTTCTGATAAATATTGATTCACATGCATCTTTATTATTCACTTAGCTTATTATTTCCTTGGGCTAGTGACCACAAAGTGAAATAAAATAGCCTGGTCACAGAATGAAAAAATAAGATATTGTTTGGCCTGTAATAATACATTTCCAAATTACCGTAGCAAAAGACCATATCACTCTACACATCTACCAGTGGGGATTATCTTGCTGCAACCTAGAGCTATTTTTATTCTTTAATAGGTAGAAACGCTTTCCTAGGGATAGAGCCGAGAGTTCAAAGAACTGCTGCTACTTGGGACTGACTTAAGTGGGATGGAGGGAAATTTTTGCACGTTAGAACAACAGGCAGACAACAAAATGTGAATTGCAATTCTGTTTACTGGGGTTTCTTCTTCTAGTTAAGATTATTTTTAATAAGGCGTTAATACCTAAGGAGCCCACAGGGGCGTGGGAGCAGCGAGGAGAGCAGAGGCCAGCGGTTCTCCCAGGGCCACTGGCTCTGTCTCCTCCTGTGTGCTGGGGGCGCACCCTCTCACACATTTCCCTCTCTTAAGCTCAAGTTCTTGCAACAAAAAAATCATCAAAAGATTTAAAACAAAACCGTGTACCCCAATCATTTTTTTTTGAAGAAATTAAAAGGCATTGTATCTTCTGTTAAATATTTATGTAGTAGACTATTGATGTCTTCATTTAAATCTGTCTTTTGAGATGCAGATTAGATGTGATGGGGAGGTAGGGGAGGTGTAGAATCTTTCCCATGAAAATGTTCAAGGACTTCGAGTGTTTTTTTCCTGAACAGACATCTTATTGTTTTTCTCTAGAAAGCCCCGCATGTACTGTTTTCTTAATGGAATTTTTATTTGACTTTATAAAATTTTAAAATAGCCTTTTGGGATATTTAGGGATTTCTCATGAAGAAGCTTTATAAAGGTTTTATCATCTCGGAAATTGCAGCATTATGGAGTTCAATTAAATGTATTTCTCAAGCAAACTTGAGGATGTGTCATCTGTTTTCTGATACATTATTGTATAACCAGCAGGATTTGTTTATAGAGACAGAGCAAGTCTTAATGTATGTATACTCTTTAATGTATGCGTTCATGTAGAAAACTCAAACAGTCTCGTTCTTAAAGGCATAGGATATTAGTTTTATTTGTTTTTCGTCTTTTTACCTCCCCAGAGTATCTTGGAATTTAGGCATTATATTCTTTCAGAAACTGTTCTTTTATTTCTTTACATCAGAGACCTTGAATATTTAATTTACTTCTCAGTAAAGCTGTCAGTTGTAATCTGCAATTTAAAAAAAAAAAAAACCTAATAAAATAAATCCTCATTTCACAATTTAAACCTTATTGAGTCTAATTCACCAGCGCTGCGAGTTTATTATTCTCCTGCAGTTTGACGTGCCTCCAATTGTAATTGTGTTGACCCTTCAATGCGTTCAATCTCCCCAGCGCTTATCAAACTGGGAGAGATAAGTCTACAATTCGGAACTTCATTAAATATCTCATTTATATTAAACAGATGATAGCTTCTAACAGAAATAATAATTTGTTGAGACGGAGGAAGTGCCACAGTTGTGGTTTCACGTTTAGAATGAGCAGTCTTCTCTCTCATCTCCCCGTGTTGGGCCTCGCCCCAGCCCGCCCCTCAGCAGCCCTCCCTGTCTCTGGCTGGCACCAAAGCGTCACAAGAGATTAGTTAGTCCATGTGGTTAACCTCGGAGCCCACATTGCAAGGACTGCAGTGGAGTGTACTTTGCTCCCCCTTGAAGCAGATTTTTTTCAAAGCTTTACTAACATAAATTTCTTATTCATATTATTTTTATGAAGAATTTGAGTTATAACACACACCTAGCTGTTCTAAGGAATGCCACATACCATTTTAATTCATGGTCATAGAAATCAACCTGTATTCTTTGCTTATTTAGTAGATTGTATGTTTGTGAAATACTCATACTATGTGTGCTTCATTATCTTATTTCCATATTCTGTGTACTCTTAGAGGGCTTTTCTCAGTTACTATCTCATACTTAAAGATTGTAGTAAGATAATACTATGATTATGCTTAATTTCTAGCAGAAGAAATTTAAATTTCGTGTATAGCTCAAGATACCTGAGCTGACAAATGGAGTCTTTAGGTCTTACAGAGTAGGAAATAATTCTACCTACACACACACAAATGCATGCTAATTGTTACATGCATTTATATCCTAGAAGTATTAATATGAAAACTATAGCTAAACTCCAACTTCCATTCTCATAAAGCATGCCTTCCACAGAGCAATGCCTAGTACAGAATTTGGGATTAAACTATAACTTAACTTGACTTAAACAGACACTAACAGTCAAATTAAAAAAATAAGCAACAAGAGCAGATTTTAAAGAAAGCTCTTAATATACATATTTTTCCTCCAATGGCTGAAATCTGACAGAACTTCATGGGAGGCCCAGTGTAACGTGGCATAGAAAGTTGGTCATTAGGCAGAGCTGTCACCACAAATTATTTTGGTACAGGGTGAAAAGTTCTACTTCATTTGGTACCCAGTTGGATACAGGCCTTGGGCAAGTTGTTATAATTCCCCCATGCTGCTAATGGGCTTCCGAGCACTGATTTTCCCTTGTCCTCCTTTCTCCGTAGCTAAAGTCACCTGGGAGCCCCCCTGGACCTGAGCTGCCTATCGAAACAGTGTTGGATGACAGAGAACGGAGAATTTCCCATTCCCTCTACAGTGGGATTGAAGGGCTTGATGAGTCGCCCACGAGAAACGCTGCCCTCAGTAGGATAATGGGTGAGTCAGGTAAAACTCTGTTCATCACATCTTTCTTTTATGCTTTCACTGGTTGACTGAGAGGTTATTCATGTCCTATTAATGTAAAAGAGGCCCATGTTTTCCAGAGGAAAAAGAACAGGTTCATTATAATCATTCAGGAAGTGTTAATGTAAGAGAGTAAATCAATACATTGATTGGTTAAGTGGCTTTGAGATCCTGTAACATGGGAAGAAAAAAAAAAAAAAGGAATCCTAGAGAAATGATCAAGATATTTGCAGCTAGTTTGAGATACTAAGTGAAGCTGTACTTTAAAAAAAAAAAAAATCAAAATTTAGTGGTGTATGGCAAGAAGCATTCAATTATGTATCATTCACAAGTAGCACTGAGCAGAGAGGGGAAAAATATGTGTATTCATATATGGACACATGTATATGAAATATTCACATTTATTTGGTTTGTGCTTAACAGGGTGTTTCTCTATTTTAAGTGTGTTTCCGCTTTTTCAAAGCCTTAGTTTTAAAATCCTGAAACTAGTCTTCTCATCCTTTGTTTGGATTCAATACCATACTGTCTGCATGGCCCCCAGCGGGTAATGAGGTTATTAGCACTTGCTCTGCGGCAATTCAGCTTTCTACTAACAGATCCAGTTAATAAAGACTCTCTTTGCCACCGGAGTGGTTGGAGTTACTGAGTTGCTCATCTTGAGATTATCTTGTGCGAGTTTTCACGTTTAAAACACAAGAAGCTGTTTTGATTAAAATAATACCCGACATCACACAGTTTTATTGCTGGCGCATTTTACAAGGCTCTCCTATAAACTAAAACCCTAAATTTTACTCTGTTTTGAGTACATTTAATGCAGATTTCATCCAATTCAAGTTTCCATGATGGAATCTTGTTGAAACAAGAATTTTGTTTTATTTATCAGTAGATGTTTATGAAAAGCCTTCCATTGGCCATACGTTGTACATATACTTTTGCTGTAGGCACACACAAAGATGAGTAAGGAACAATCTCTGCCTTCGAAGAACTTTCTACTGGGCATGATTGGAAAATTACATAAACATGTCTAGTAGAATTTTCTGTTGTTCTTCCTCTAAGCCTTCTAGCTTTCTAGTTTGAAAACATTGCTAAATGCTCAATTTCTCATCCTGTTGTATGTAGAGCTTAGACATGCCAGCTCTCTGGTTTTACTTTGTCAATGTTTTCCTTTTTACTTGCTTGGCATAAGTAAACGTCAGGGAAGGATGCTACACCTGTTGGGTTGAACACCTGTCGGGTGAAAGGCATCGAACAGAGTGTATCCCATTGAATCTTTGCTTTTTACTTACCACTCTCTCCACTGCCGTTGGATTTTCCATATTTTCCTGGCTTTGGTGTAAAACTTTATCTTTGTCAAGTTCTTTTTTTTGAATTGCTGAAATTTCAGACCCCTTGAGAGAGTAAGAGTGTGCATGTGTCCCTAGATCTGTGTGCATACAAAGTGATACGCTGTAATTTCCCCTTTATTATAGGAACGTAGGACTTGCCATTCTGAATCAGACCATTGGTCCACCAGTTCCTGTAACCTGCGTCCTGCCTCCAATCCCTGATGCTTCAGAGGAAGGCGAAAAACTAGAACTAAAAACCAAACCAAAAAAACAAACAAAATCCCAAACTTCACCTAGTGACCTTTTGAAATGCTCTCTATATATGGGTTGAAGAGTCGTTCATTTTCTCCATAGTCTGTTGCTCTGATTTTGTTAGCTATGGCTTCATCGGCCCTCTTCAGTTTGCATTATAGTTGACATTGTTTCCGCTGCCTTCTGCTAGATTTGTAATGAACTCGTAAAACTCCAGATGCTTCCCTGGGGCAGTGACATCCCTCCCAGCTCTGCTCGGTGATGCACCTGCCCTTTTGCTACTCTGGGCAGGGTCAGTGGTGACAGACTCATTACTGTTTGCTGCTAGGCCAAACTGATGTTGTATGATTTGGATATTTTCTTGAGACTTTTTTTTTTTTT